ATAATTTAGCAATATCATGGGACTTTCTTATTCCTTGGTCTTTGCCCATGGCTGCTGTGCTGTACGAAAACAGTGGGCAACATTCACACTGTGTTCTATGTGAATAGAGTACTTGAGAGTTGTGTAGTGTATCAGTTGTGTCTGAATACTATGTTTCTAATAAATGCTCCAGTAATATACTACCTCTAGGGAAAAAAAGAAAAGAAGCAACCTTAGAGATATTTGCAGCTGCCTAGTGAGCATTTCAGTGAGAAGCTTTATACCTCAGATTCAACACCCCAGAAAAAAAACACCCACACCTTGTGACATTACTCAAATAACCTATACCCACACATTCCCTATCCCAAACTGAATCTCCTCCTATATCTCAGATTCACTCAGTCCAGTACATTTATTCAGGCCCTCACCACATTACCTGAACAATTGCAGTAGTACATTTACCAATATTTTTGCTTGTATTCTTTCTATTTAACATCCAGTCCCCAGAGGGCTCTTCCTATTGCTGTTTCTCTCTTACAGACTCTGGAGGTCTCTCTTGTACAGGATAAAAGTCAAACTCTTGCAGGATACACACACCCCTTCATAATGAGCTCCACCCTTAGTTTCTAGCTATTTCCTGCCTTTTCCCTACTGCTATTTCTTCCCATTTCCCATTTCTATTGGTTTTATGCTGTAGCTCCACCTAGAAAACTTTGGAAACTGTCCATGTGAAGTCCCCACTTCTGATCTGCTTCTTCCTTTCTCTCTTCTGCATAATAAAGTTACTTTTTCTTCAATATCTCAATACTATCTCTTTCTTGAAGGTTTATCTGATTTCTCCCTTCCTCCCAAAGAATTGGTTTCTCTCGCAACCATATTCTTATAGCACTTTTTGCATTTTTCTTGCATGAGCTAGTTGTGATTTAAAGGAAAGATCATTATGTGATCTTTAATGTGCCCCAAAGACCTTGACTAATGTTTACACATTACAGTTTGACTAGAATTACACACTTTCAAGCTGACATCAGTGCATGAAGAGATACTAGTTTAATCTGTCATACAGTTGTAATGTAACTACCCAAAATAGGAAGATATTAGAAAGCATCTACCACGGTATGATGATAGTCAGATCTTGCCAGAATAATGGAATTTTGTTCCTTGACAATATGAAAAATTGTAACAAAGAGAAATTGTTAGGGTGATTGTGTGTTGAATGAATGATCCAATCTATGAAGCTCTTAATTATTTTACAAATAGTTTTCTCAATATTAATCTACAAAGCATTGTTCCAATCATGCGATTTAAGTGAATGAAAAATAGTGGGGAATTAGCTATCAAAGAAAGACTTTTGTTATTAATAATTGCTAGATCTGGCTAGATCTGAGCTAGCACTAGAATGACACTGTTCTAAAAAAAAAAAGGCAGGGCAAGCCTACATGCTAGGGTAACAGAGATCATTATTACATTTTGGTCACCACAATTCATCAAGGAGATGAAGTGTGTGAAGATTCAGAGATAATTAAAGGAATGGAAAATGGGTCCTATGAGAAAAGGTCGTGCAATTAAGGCAGGAGAAGGGCAAAAGACACACACTTGATTACTAATTTTTATATAATTTTTTATATACACAAAAGGCTAAACATGAAAAAATAGCTTAAATTAGCATATGCAACTTGATTTGACATGAAGAAAAATTTTCTAACTGGATTACAATTTCAAATCTGATCATGTTAGTTCCCCAATTAAAAAACTTTGAGTTCCTATTGTTTCTAGTCCCTAGTTCATTAGTTAGATAATTTCTGACAAATCAAAGTTCCAATTTTTTGGGAAGATGGTGTACAACAATGGTTTGGGAGCCTTAGTTTGTTAGAAAATTACTTATAGATTGTATGGAAATCATATGTGGTCTGTCAAAAATATATGAAGATAAATATGAATAAGAAGAAAAAGAGGTGGAAAGAGATGTGGAGCCAGACTTGCTTGTGCTGAGAGCCAGGTACTCTTTTTATGTTCTTTTGAATCCTAGATAATCAACAAGACAGTGATTATCAACAGAAGAAACATACTGTTCTGTCTTCTGAGCAAGTCACATTAAATAAATCTACATTTGTGTATACGAAACTAAAATAAAGCGTTTAATGTACATATCTTTTTAAAGGTTCCTTCTCTGTTTTGAGGAGAAATTTAAAACATTGTAATCTAGGGTGATGTCAAACTCACAGAATAGTTGCAAGAGTAGTACAAAGAATACTCATGTACCCTATCTCAGTTTGCTGTGTTCACCAGAGCAGGATATCATAGACTGGTGTCTCAACCAGCAGACATTTATTTTCTTTGGCTCTGGAGACTGAGAAGTACAGGATAAGACACTCACAGCAGCATCTGATTTCTGCTGGCGAGTGCACTCTTCTTCCATAGTAAAAGCCTTCCAGGTGGTCCTTACCTGGCAGAGGGTGGAGGAAGGGGTTTACACAACTCTCATCTGTGAGGTCCCTCCCCTTATGCCTTTATGAAACCGAATAACCTCTGAACCTGAATAACCTCTGGCTCTGTCTCCTCGTACAGAGTTAAAGCTTGGGAATTAAAGCTTCAACCTATGAATTTGAAGGGAGGGAGATACAATTCAAAACACTGTATAACATTTACCCAAATGTACCCAGTTCTTAACATTTTCATGCCTTGGGCCCTTCACCCTTTATGTATGTGTGCACAAACAAAATATTCGTTCAACCCACTTGAGAGTACAGATGGCCCACAATTTTACAATGGTCAATTACAATTTTCAGCTTTATGATGGTGCAGAAGTTATATGCATTCAGTAGACACTGTATTTTGAGTTTTGATTTTTCTTTTTCCCCAGCCTTGCAATACGTGGTATCACATCATCTTGATCCTGGGCAGCCACGACAAACCACAACTCCCAGTCAGGCTCACAGTCAGAGTAAAAACTGATCCTCTTCAATGTATTGTATTGCCGGCAATGTTTGGATGTTGTGTTTTCGGTTTGACATCCTCTTACGTCCATCTGTATGTGTACATAGTGTTATTTTTAAATTTTGAATTAGGCTTAGAAAATTTATACACAGAATCAGAGACCTAGAAACTCCACCTGGGTTCCCCTGACATTAACATCTTATATTACTGTAGAACAATGATCAGAACCTGGAAATTAGCACTCGTGTGATATTATTGACTGAGCTACGAGTGTCATTCAAATGTATCAACTTTTCCTTCCGCTAGTGGCTTTTCTGCCTGAAGATCTTGTCTAGGATTCCACACAACTTTTAGTTCTCATTTCTCCTTAACTGCCTCCAGGGTAACAGTACCTCAGTCTGTCTTTGTCTTTTATCATCTTGACACTTCTGATGAATACAGGCCCCTTGTTTGTACAATACTACATTCCTCATTCTGGGTCTGTGATGGATACTCTACATTGTTTGGGGGGTTTTTTGTTTGTTTGTTTTGTTTTGTTTTGGTATGGGGATTGAACTCGGGTCCTTGCACTTGTGAGGCAGGTACTGGAAGGAACTACAAGGCCAAATCCCCAGCCCTTCTACACTGTTGATAAGAATACTGCAGAAAGGATGTGGAACCCTTCTCTCTCTCTCTCTCTTTTTTTTTTCTTTTTGTACCAGGGATTGAACTCGGGTCCTTGCACTTGCAAGGCAGGCCACCGAACCACTGAGCTAAATCCCCGGTCCTTGGAACCCTTCTCTTTGACTCGTGCCCAGAGTATACAAAGTCATGATTATTAATAGTGATGTTGTTGAACTTCATCACTTGGGCAGGGGTGTTTTTGCTGTTTTCTCCCTCTGCAGTTACCATCTTTCCCCCCTGAAGTTGATAAATATCTTAGAGATACTTCAAGACTATACAAATAACTTGTTTCCAATAATTTTTGCATTGATCAGTGAGCCTTGCCTGCAATAAATCTTACTATAGTAATAGCCTAGTAGTGAATCTCTTATTTACCTTTTTTCTTTATTGATTAGAATTCTGGAAAGAGAAGCTGCATAGATGGGCTTAGATGCAGAATTTCACATTCTTCCAGTCATTTTTCTGAGTCTTCAGATTATTAGTTTGGAAACCATATTTTTTTTAAGTTCACTTTTATTGTTCTTATTTAAGCATTACAATTGGTTGTTTGCCGGAAGGCATTACGATCACTTAAGTTATACAGTTTCTTTATTTTAGGCAGACTGAGTGACTCTCAATTACATAAATTTTTAAAAAATCAGTGACTTAGTAAAACAAGACACAGCTGTGTATGGCAGTGCATAGCTTTAATCCCTGCTCTTGGGAGGGTGTGGCAGGAGTATCACAAGCCCAAGACCAGCAAGTTTAAAGCTAGCCTGGGCTAGATGGTGAACTTTGCCTCAAAAAATCAATCACACACTGGATGATGATATTAAAGGGGGTACATTCTACACTTTGAAAAACTAGCTGTTGAGCTTCTGAATGTCTAATAGGAAAACTAATGCTGTTGATGCTTAGCTACAAGGAGTTCATGGGACACATGTAGATTCTGAAGAACTTAGCTGTAACATTTTGTGGCTCTGTGTTTACTTTGGTAATTGTAGCTGAAGTCTACAGAACACAGTATATTTAGCACGGATTCTCACAGTTCAGCAGTTTTCATCAACCACAGTTATCATACAGCATTTGCCCAGAACGACTAGTCAGCAGAAAAGTACTGAATTGGAGCTGGTACATTTTGTTTCTTTCTAAGCATAGTCTCTCTAGTTTCATTTTTAAAAAATTTAGAAAAGAGCATTATTTAGATCAGGGGCTGACAGTGTTTTTTTGCAGAGGTCCAGGTGGTGAGTTCCTTGACTCTCCAGAACATCCAGACACTCACCTCGCTGTAGTAGCCATAAACACTCTGCAAGTGTATGGGTATGGCTGTGCCCAATAAAACTTTGTAGGAACTGTGGCAGGCTGGGAGTTAAGAGTTCTCTGAACAATGTACACACTCGAAATGTACATAAGCTTTTGTCCTTATCTCTCATTTTTCCATATAGGCAGAAGACTGTTCTTTGAAAATATGTATTGGGGAGATAGTCACATCCTATTGAATACCTCGTGCTGGTGCTGCCATCGAAAAATCTGGTTACACTCTGGGGAGGCCTGCAGGACCGAACCGCCTCGGCCCTGAAATGCATAGCCAGCCTGAGCAGGCCCACCATGAATAGATACACGATGATCAAGCAGCTCGGGGATGGGACCTATGGTTCTGTCCTGCTAGGAAGAAGCATTGAATCTGGGGAACTGATTGCTATTAAAAAGTAAGTGTCGTCCTCTGTTCTGGCGAATTCATCTTCAACTGTACATCATCAAGGTAGTTTCAAGTTTATCCCCTTCATCCCCTGTCTTTGAGACGTCCCTAAAGGGGAGTGGATGGGAGGTGTTTTCTTCAGTTCTCGTATTAGAAGTCTTAAAAGACTACCATGTTGGCCTTATTACTTTACTACTTTACAAACAGCATGAGTACTTTTCTCATGTTTTCTTATCTTGTGAAGTAATGACAAGCAGGCTAATAACTATCATTTCACAGGAAAGGAAATGAAGCTCTGAGAATTTAAGTGACTTAATTCAGTCACTCAAATGTGGGGTGCCCTGGTGATTTGTGTCTTATTCCCCCTGCATACTTAATCTTTGCATTTGGAGTCCAGATCTGTTGTGTTAGCTATGTGTTGCCATGCCACAGTCTGTTCCTACCCTTAATAGTTTAAAACAGCACATGGTTATCATCTCAGCTTCTGTGGGTCAGCACAGCTTAGCTGAGCTGTGTGTTTCAAATTCTCTTATGGGTGCACTCAGGTCTCACTGAAGGCTGGGCTGGGGAATGGTCCACTTCTGAGTTTACACATGTGATTGCCGGCAGCTTTAGAACCTGGTGTGCTGCTGTGACAAGGACCTCAGATTTCTGCTTGCTTTGGCTGCCGCCAGGTTCTTGCCCAGTGAAACTCTACAAAGAACAACTCACAACCCAGCTGCTTGCTCCATCAAGTCATGGACAATAACAAAACGTTAAGAGAGTCTTCTAAGATGGAAGTCATATCTTTTTTGCTTTTATAAACTGCAGTGTATGTATCTCAGTTCACGAACTCAATTCCTTCCACAATGCTGGTTGCAAACCAGATTGGGCGAGAACTGAATCATATTTAATGGTTAGGTTCAATGTTGACCTCATGGGGCAATTTGATTCAGTTCTTGTTCAATTTGGTTTGCATCCAGCATCGTGGAAGGAATTAAGTTCGTGAACTGAGGTAACACTGTAATCACTGTAGTGACATCTACTCAGATCACTATATTTCAAAGGTTAGAAGCAAGTGATTCTTAGAAGCAAGGAGAGGGTTGTACATATAAATATATGTGTATGTGTGAGTACCAGGAAAGGGAGGTGACTGGGGACTGCCTTAGAGTCTTCCTGCTAGACCCATCCATGGCCAATTGCCTTCTCAGCAGCTCCTTTTGGATGCCATGCAGACATTTCAAAGGCATCATGCCCAAAACTGAACTCTCCTCTTTTACCTTTGCTCTTACTTATCTTGATAAATGACACTACCATTCCTTTAAAACCTCTGAAGTATCCTCCTGACTTTCTTCCTCCACATCCCTCATTTTGGGCTGTCCAGTCCTGTTAATTCTACGGAACCTACTTCTCTGTGTTCTCTCTAAAGTGTCCCATTCAGCCCATTACCCTTTACCACCTGAACACTTGGTCTCTGTAGGGCTCCTAGCTTCCCCTCCATCCCCTACTCACACCATACAGAAGACTGTTTTAAACACACAATCTGATTGTGTCAAACGTTCTTTGTGTCCCACCTGATTCAGTGTCCTAACAAGCCTAAGCCCCGGCTGCCCACCTTGAGGTTAGCTGAGTCCTGTGCTCTTGTTAGGACTTCCCATCTCTTTATTTTCTGTTTCTCTGCTCTTTGCCCTGGCTTCCTGGAATCACTTCCTGAGTACACTCACATTATCCGCATACTCGTCTCTGCTTTGCGGGGAGTCTAAACCAAGACAGCTCTTGGTGTCTTCCTGTTAGTTTAGGGTTAAGCCCCACATTTTAAATGTGACCTACAAACTGCTGCGTCATTTGGCCCCTGCTTGTTTTCTTCAGCCTGTCTCTTGTCACTTTGTCTTTTTTCTTTTGCTTCAGTCTTGCCGCCTTTCAGCTTCTTGAGCTCAGGTCTTACGTATGGTACTCTTTCCTCATGCCTCTGACCTGACTGAATTCCTCTCACCCTTCAGGTCTGGGTTGGAATAGCTGTTCGTGAGAGGAGTTTTCCCTCATGGACCAGACTAGATTGGGTCCCTTTTGAGTCCATTCTCAGATTACCCCATGTCTTTCCATTTAGCCAACGAAAATTATTTTCAACCTTCCTCCTTTGATACTAGCTCCATGAGGGATGTCTTTCTTGTCATTGTTCTCCAGTGCTTGAGACAGCACCTACCCGCAGGAGAGAGATGAGTAATATCTGGAGCGTGAATAAAGGAATTGATCACTCAAGCAGGAAATGCTGTGGCAAGAACAGAGTGTCAGAGAGAGCTGGAGAGGTAGAAGTTGTTCTGTTAGTGACCAGCTTGAGACCTGGGGAGTGACGTGCACCTCTCCTGTACTTTAGTTTCCTCACCTGTCTATCTGTTTCAGAGGGTGGTACACAGACAAATGAGTGAGTGTGTTGTGTTCCTGTAAGCTTTCATTTATAGAAACTGAACTTTTGATTTTGTGTAACTTTCACATATGACAAAATGTTATTCTTGTGATTGTCTTCCCTAAGTATTTAAAAACACAAATACCATTCCTAACTCACTGGCTGTATGAAAGCAGATGGTGGAGTGAATTTGGCCCATGCGCTGTAGTCTGCCAACCTCTGTTCTGGGGGCGTGCAGAGCATACTGCTTAGTATCGTAGTGCATTACCATACTTGGCCTCTACATTAAACTGAAGTAAGACTAAAATTCCATCCTGGTGTTGCACAATAGCCACGCATGGAGTGGTTAGCATGTTGGATGCCACAGAACATTTTCACTAACATAGGAAGTTCTTTTGGGCAGCCCTGTTCTAGACAGAATAAGCCTGAGAGAGTCCCCTCCTGGGAAGACTGGCTCATTAGTGGGAGAGCAAGACAACAGTCCAGGTTTCTTGCACTGTAGCATACCAGCACTGCTGGGAAATTTTGTGATTTAGACTCGATTGCAATGCCAGGTCTTAAATGCTGGGTTTTTGTTTGTTTGTTTGAGACAGGGTTTCACTATATAGTTGAGACTGACCTGGAACTCACTATGTAGCCCAGGCTGGTCTTGAACTCACAGTGATCCTCCTACCTCAGCCTCCCAAGTGCTGGGATTACAGGCATGCACAACCACACCTGGCTTTAAATGCTATTTTGAACGATATCATGTTTGGTAGAAATCAAAATCACCTTCAAGCAGTATTGATTAGGTCAGAATGAAAACATTAAAAAAAATAAAATTTAGCCTGCAACTGGGAATGAACATGCTATTTCTTCTCTTTTAGAATGAAAAGAAAGTTTTATTCCTGGGAGGAATGCATGAACCTTCGTGAGGTTAAGGTATGTATTAATGTACCAGGGGATGATTTATGTTTTACTGATTAAAATAGCTTTATGTATGATTGGATTTATAGTTAATAGAATCATTCTATTTATAGTTTTTCACTAATGCCAAAAAAGTGGGCAAATGATAAAAAGCTAGTAGTTAATGAAAGAAGACGACAATGTTCTGTATTAGTGAATATGCTGTTAGAAAGCCTTTATCATTAATGGGTGTCTTATGTAATACACACCAATAAAATAAACTGAACATATTAAGTGAATTATTGTTGCCTCCTGAGGTGATTAATGCACAGGGATATTCATTTGTGGAGATGTTTCCTAGATACAGTAGCAGCGCCCATTTCAGAAACTTCTCCTACCATTTGTGCCCTGTTGTCTGGGAGGGAATTCTTTGACCAAGGGGAAGCCATGTCTGTGTCCTTTATGAGGCAGGCATTCTGACAGGGTTACTGCTCCCTTTCTTTCTCCTGTCCTCATTGTTTTAATTCTCATCTCTGCCAGAGTACCTTGACCACTTTGGTTCTGTCTATGTGATTCTCTTCTTGTGCCCCCTCTTCCCCTTGTTCTCTCACCAAGCCCTGAGGAGACACTTAGTATAATATTGAAACCAAGTTCTCCTGCTCTGCCCCGGGGCTCCCAAACAGGGAAAGGGCTTTCACAGGTAGAGCAGGAATCTACAGACTCTTTCTGTTCAGATATTCCTCATTGAATGACTGAGTTTCGCTCCTGAAACGAAGTGGTCATGGCACTAAATAAGGGAGTGTCTATAGTATGTACATTACAATATTCAGATCAAAGAAATGGTGAAAAGAAACTCTAACTTGATGATGTGCCTTTTTATTTCCATAGCTCTTACACACAGTACAGTAATATATGACAGAACATAAAGCTACAGATTCATACTGTACAGTACAATCAATAAAAATATAGTACTTTTAAAATTTTTATTAAAAATTACAGTACTATATCAACTAAGTGTACTGTACCAAAAAAGTCATGAAGGCTCTCTAAATATGATGTACAGAATTGTATCCACACACAGCAAAAAAAGATGGGTCATAAGTCTGAGTTGCAGGAAGTAAATCCAAAAAGCACACATTGGTTGTGAATCTGAACAGTTGTTAAACAGGTAGGTTGTTAAACAAAGAGAATCTCTAAAGGGTGAGGTAGTAAATATTTCAGACTTTCTGGATCAAAAGTTCACGCTCAGGGATTACATAGGTAAATATGTAACAAGAGTGAAAATAAATTTCCAAAAAATTTTAACTGATGAAATGTGAAATATGATATGAATCGGATATAATTTTGTATGTTAGAAGTCTTCCAGTGAGAAGAATGATATTTTTTTGAAGGGGGTTAACATTGAACTTAATTAGGGTTCAAATCAGTGTTCCCTGATGACATCAAATTGGTTGCAAATTCTGAGGTCTGAGAGGTATCCTTGACTTGGATGCTAACCCTTTACTTTTATATACAAGTAACTGCATTCATTCTAATTGGAAGAGAGATTGCTGAGGCATCTTCGAAAACCTGGAGGGAGGTACATGACATCTTAGGAAGCAGGTACCACCCTGGGCAAGACAGGTGAAGGAACTGCTCTCCCAGTTGGTGACCAGAGACCAGGTTCCTGCTCTTCCTTGCCTGCACAGATGCCCCACCTGCCCACGGTTCCTTCACACACTTGCCGCACAGGATACAGCCAGCTGCTGAGTATGAAGGGAAGGGAAGGAGACACACAGGTGGCCCCTTGCCAGAATTCTTCAGCCCTTCCTACTTGTTGAAATTCTTCCTTTCTGCTTATGGATGCAACAGGGAACAGGAAAGGAAAGTTACTGAAAGACCATCATTTCTCATGTCCTGCCTAATCCCAACAGCAAAGGAAATGAGGAGACATCCCGCACCCTGGTACATTGCAGGATCGCCACTTCTTCATCTCTGGTCCCATCCATCCTCCTGTGCCCCTCTGGAGAGCCTGTGGGCTCAGGGAGATTCTTCATCTGAAGGCCCGCTGATGGAGGGAATCCTTGTTCCATAACGAGAAAGGGGGACCCAGTGACATTTTCTCTGAAGTGCTGTCTTACACGGAGCTGTGGCCTTCCAGGTGCCATCAGAGTTAGCAGGCCTGCTTTTTTCCTCTGCTGTCTTTTTAATTTTCTTCTTGTTCACTGAGCATGGTGGTGCATGGCTGTTAACCCAGCACTCGGGAAATAAGGCAGGAGGATCTCTCCAGGTTGGATGCCAGCCTGGGTTAAACAGTGAGTTCAAGGCTAAACCTGAACCATAACAAGACCTTGTCTCAAAAAATCAAAAAAAATTTTTTTTCTTTACCGTCTTAACTGCTGATGCGTTTAGCTCCTTACTCCAAAAATTTCCCCTCCTTTTATCCTTCAATTCTTCTTTCCACTGGCTTCTTCTCTTCCCTCTGTAATTGTGTCCACCATTCTCTTCCCACCTCTCCCTGTCCCTGGTATTGCACTTCCTCGCTCTCTTCACTGTGCCTTCCAAACTTTCAGTGCCACTTCACTACGCACCGTTTACTTTTCAACCTAGCTGAGTCAGGCGTTGCCTTCCGCAACCCTGTTGAAGCCCGAATTCGGTGGGTATTACCAGTTTGCCTTCTGCCTGCTCCTCCAGCCAGTCTTCCAGATGAGCTTCCTTCTGAGCCAGACCAGTGTGATCCTCAGCCTTTGTTGCTCAGACATGGTCTGCACTCCATCTCCCCGCTTTTCTTGGCCTGGCTTCCCTCCTGAGGTCCCTTTCCCTCCAGTGTGCTGTTCTTCAGTCCCACTCCGAGAGGTGCTGTCACTGATGCTCAGCACTGACCTGCTGCTCATTCCAGCAACCTCTCCGATGCTTCTTGTTTCTGTCGTTCCTTTGACATTTAGTATGGTTTTCCTTATTAAGTGCATTTTTAATTCATACATTTTGAGTTTCTGTCCTTCTTCCCAAGGAAGTTGTTTCCTTTTTAAAGTAGATATTATGTCTTGTGCCCTGGGATGGTTGTGGGGCCAACAACATTGTAGCTTTAATAGTTAAGAAATACCTCCAGGCAGGAGGATTGAGAGTTGGAGGCCAGCCTGGGCTAAGTAGCAAGACCAGCTCTCAAACAAACAAGCAAACAAACAAGCAAATGGGCTGATCAGTGCCTAAGAAGGGCAGAATTGATAATATCCACTTGGAATCTTTTTCCACGAGGACTGTCCTCATATGGACCAATGATGGGGTTTGTCTGTGGTACAAGTGACCTACCTCTACCCCTCTTTCAGAAACCTTTGCTTGAGTCATCTAAGATGACTCCTCCAGGAAAAAAAAATCTCTAAAGTGAATTATATGAAGTCTTTGCTGCACAGTTTATCTTCTGATATTAAATTGATACAGACTTTAACTTGTTCGTGAGCCTCACTTGGAAACAGGAGCTGGGAGCCACTCTTAGTCACAGACTAGGGTTTACCCACCAAACAGACCTCAGGTTAAAAGCCGACAGTCCCTCAGGCTTTGCTGAGAATTCTCTTCTAGGAAAGCTGGAAAATAGACTTATTTTCCTCTGAATGAATTTACTCTGAAATTCCTCATCCGAGGAATTCTTGGCCACACTGCCTTGTGAAACATTTTAAGAAAACAGGCAGAGAAGATGTCTGCATTTGGGACAGCCCAGTGAATACCCACAAGTTAAGCAATGTGTTTTTTATTTATGAAGAACCAGGAATGATCAGCCTCATTGGATTATTCTGGAAGGTCTGGCCTAAACAGTTGGCCAAAGCCATGAAGAATCTTTGCCAGAGAGGCATCTTGGGAGGAATTTGTCCTATGGAGAGAAGGCTCCAGAAGAGTCGTACTCTGTTCTTTTTTTTTTTTTTTGGTACCGGGGATCGAACTTGGGTTCTTGTGAGGCAGACGGCAGAACCACTGAGCTAAATCCCCGGCCCCCGTACTCTGTTCTTGCTCACTGAACACATTTCCTCTCTCTTTCCCCAGCTGCTTCATGTAACTTGATTGTGTGGCACATTCCCAAACCCTGATCTCTTGGCCACCTTATTACCCAGTGTCCTTCCAGATCTGGATGTTTGCTTTAACACTTCTCTCTTTAAGTATTTTGTTCCTTTGTAAAAGGGATGGTCTTACTAATGAAATTCAAAAGAGGGCTTTACAGTTGGTTATTATTATTAGACTTACTGCTCTGTGAGGAAAGAGCTTTTGAATCGAAGGTTTCATGGTTGGCAGCCTCCACAAAAAGAGACAGTCCATCAAGTTTTGATTATCCCGTAAGCAAACCAATAGTTTTGTCTCTAGATGCTCCATATGAGCAGGATTGCTGCTCACTAAAGCAGTTTTCATTTACCACAGGCAGAACTAAGGATGCAGGGAGAAAGTAGTACATGTACACATGCCTGTCAGCACAGGTACTCACAGGACTACACCTGTGTGAGGACCAGCAAGCAGAGGTCAGATGATGCTTTCTGACCTACACTCTTATCCCTCATCTGCTGCCTGACTGGTGTTTTGTTTGTTTATTTGTTTTTTGTTTTTTGAGACAGGATCTCACTATGTAGTTGAGACTGACCTGGAATTCACTATGTAGCCCAGGCTGGTCTCAAACTCACAGCGATCCTCCTGCCTCAGCCTCCTGAGTGCTGGGAATACAGGCGGGCACCACCACACCCTGCTCTTTTTAACCTTTTTTGTTCTCGGAAGCAGAAGAATTTTTTTCATCTCACTTCAAGGTCTTTACAGTAAGATGTCTCCTTTGCTTTCTCCATAGTGGACTACTTAGCAGTACAGTTATTTAAATACAGTGTGACCAAAATTGCATTTTTGTTAACTTTTGCAATAGAACAAGAAGTATAAAAATGACAGTTTTATCAAATGTATTCAATAATTTTTCTATGTATGGGATATCTTAAAACATTCAACACACAATATAACGTTATAATCTGGACAGTAGTAACTAGTGTCTTTCTGAATTCTTTATGCATTGCTATCTTTCTTTGAGCAACACACTTTACACAGTCATGTTAATCTTTGCTTTTTTTGTGGGTGGTATAAGCTTCAATAAAATGTCTACCCACTAAACAAAACGGTGAAGATATGGATGATGGATGTCCTGGTTGGGGTTTCTCTATCCTGTATTTTTCAATTATTTGGTCTATTAGCCCTAACCTAAATTGTAAATGACATTTTGAACCCCCTTGTTTTAAATAAGTAACAAACGAATTTGCATTGTTTGGTCCAGAAAGTGCAGAATTTTTTTTTTTTTTTTTTTTTTTTGTACCGGGGATTGAACTCAGGACCTTACACTTGTGAAGCAGGCAGCAGAACCACTGAGCTAAATCCCTGGCCCTCAGAAATATTTTATAATAATATTTTCCTTGCTCTTTGATTACAGAATAGCTTGTTAGATGACAGTCAATTCTGTCGGCGCCACCCATAGAATTGCTATAATCACTGATCGCTATTGGAATTTTTTCAGTTTCGGTTCTTTTTTCCAAGTTCTCAGTATTACGAATAGTTGACTATAAGGAGACATATTTTTATCTTTCCATTTCATAACACAGACTTATTCTCTGATATGCTAACATCTCACCCTTTTTCAGTTTTTTCTTTTGCAGGTCGTTTGGCACTTCCTTCCTATTCAGTCTCAGTGTCCCCAACATGTGTGTTTTGTACTGTAAAAGAATATCACTGAGTTCTGGAGAAGTATAAAAATTATATCTAATGTACTTAGGATAAGAGTTGTTATCGATTGCCGCACAAAATTATAGGTTATTTTTCACAAGTAAAATAAACACGAATGAAAGAAAATAACCAGAACTTGTTAATAGATTTCACTAGAAACAAATATCAAAGCAAATACGATGTTCTAAGTATAACAAAAAAAGATATGCAAAAAAGACAATATAAAGCAAACAGATGTATGGTATATCTCATGCAAATGAGCCAACTGGTTGAACTGACACCTGCCTGGGCAAAGCTCAGGATAGTCTACGTAAGGAAACACACTGCCTGAGTGACGCTTGGAATAAACTGTTGAGGGGTTACAACTCATACTGTAAGGAGCATTCTGTGTCTCATGCACACGACTCAGACAAAGTCAAGAGAATCAGGTTATCAGCCTCAGTCTGTTTGAGCAATGTCCTATTTAAAGTGTCTGCAGACTTCACTCGTGATCTCATCCCAAAGCAGCTGCATTCTCCAGGGCTAGAAAATTCAAAACCCCAGTTTCCTTTATTCTGTTCTGACTACTTCCACATGCTGAATGAATTCTGTAGTCTGGAGTGGGTAACCCTAAAATAGCTCTGGCTCACTGCTGAGTGTTGGGCACAGCCGGATATACCGGTATTAGGTGAAATACATGCCTTGTAGTCAGTTCATCAAAAAATGTTTTTCTAGAGAAAGTTACTTTTGATTTTAGAGAAATACTCTGTATTAAATTTTCAGTAAATATAACATTAAATAGCTTGTCTTAAATTAGGTATTTTTCCTAAGTTTAACTCAGATTACTTTTCTTCGACAACAGATTTTCTCTAATTGTTTTTTTCCCTCACCTTTCAGTCGTTAAAGAAGCTCAACCATGCCAATGTAGTAAAATTAAAAGAAGTTATCAGGGAAAATGATCATCTTTATTTTATCTTCGAGTATATGAAGGAAAATCTTTACCAGCTCATTAAAGAAAGGTATGGGTTGGCCGTCCTGTTCTTAGAAATAAATATTGCAAGCAAAGTGGATATATTTTCTTTTTGCTTTTTTTTTTTCTTTCTTTTTGCAATCTCCCAATTCATCTTCTGACACACGGGGGATCGAACTCTAGTCCTTGTGCTTGTGAGGCAGGCAGCAGAACCACTGAGCTAAATCCCTGGCTCTCCTTCTATGATTATTTAATGGTTATGTTAACAGGGTTTAATGCTGCAAGCCGACCCCCCACCACCACCCTAGAAGAGAGCTCAGCCCACATTCCTGCCATGGGAGACCATGTGATGACCTCAGGGAGCTGCTTTCAATGTAGAGAGAGGGTTTCTTGGTTTAAAGTTATTCACCTGAAGAGGCTGAAAGCCTTAAAGGGCACTCTGCCTGTCTCTGTTCCCAAGAGGACTGATGGGCGGAGGGCCACAGTCAGTGGTGTACACAGTTGCATTTATTTTGAGGCCTCCATTGAAATATTCTAGGTTGATTTTAATTCTTCTTCTCCTGCTGCTCAAGTACTTGCATGCTGGAAAGAAGAGACCAGTCAGAAACTTCCCTGCTCTGATAATTTGAACTTTGAAATTGAACTGTGGACAGACTCTTGGGTTCACTTTCCGGTGGCCAAATGAATGCCTTTTGTGAATTCTTCTGAGTGGTTTGAGAGAACAGATACCATCTTGATTGTCGATACCAGCAGTGAAGCCATGGGCATTGCCTGACCAGGGAAAAACGTTAACATCCATCTGGTGTATCACATGAGGGCTTTATCTATAAGATTGCAGATTTTCCCTGCTGAAGTTTTGGAAAGTTTTAGCTTATGTCACAGAGAGAGATTTTTATTTGCTATTAGAGGGATTTTTTGTTATCATAAAATGTTTCATCTTTTCTTTGTGACATAATTAAATATATTTGGCATGTTTAAGTTAGCTTCCCTGTATGGACAAGTGATCATTTTTCTTGGTTATTTTGGGGGTTTTCTGGGCAAAAATTAGTGTAAGAGGACTAAGGATGTAGCTCAGTGATGAAAACTGGGGATTTCTTTTAATCCTTAAACCCAGATCTATAACTTTGTTTTCCTTTGTCCTGTACAGAAATAAGTTGTTTCCAGAGTCTGCTATAAGGAACATCATGTATCAGATATTGCAAGGACTCGCTTTTATTCACAAACATGGTAGGTGGTTCGAAGTATACTGCTTTTGAGTAACAGTGAACTGTTGTCATCAAGCAGGAGATGTAGAAAGCATTGATGTCTTTTGTAATTAGCCCCCAGGAAAGGTTGAAAAGTTGAGAGGCTGGCGATGGATTTTGGAATTTGATTTCTGGGTTTTCTGCCTTTATCGTGCCCTTGTGTTTTTATTCTTTAACCCTTAATGGTAGGTTTTAGTTATAGATGTATGCATTATTCTTGACAGTAAACTGTTGTATCAATGAGAAAATGAAGGTTATAATTGTGAGTTGCTGCACGTATCATATTTAACCCATTAACTTCCTTCACCGACGCTTCTCAGTTCATAGACTATTTATATTTCTATTTGTTTCAAGGGGTTAAAAATGACCAACAAAAATTATACAGTACAATCAGGCAAAATAAATTAAAAATTAGAAGAATGGAAAAGAGACAAAAGCTAAGCAGGATGTATATATAATCATGGGTGAGGTTAATCCTTAAGATTCACACTAGCAAGTTTTATCTCGGTGGAAGAAGCAGGCAACAGATTTGATTCTGGGCTTGTTGTCCTACAACAGAGAATATAAAATATGGCCAAAGAACACTGCAGGGTTTCTCCGAGGTGAAGACAAACCAGAAGTATCTTGATGTGCAGACTGGAAAGAAACTTCTCTCATATTCCCTCTAGATGGGATGATACGGGCCATGTGTTTGAGGTGGGCACAGGGACCGGCTACACAGAGCAGTTAGATGGCATAGCTCAAAACGGGCCAGGTATTTCATCTGATCAGCAAAAACACTTCTGCTGGGGCTGGTGTGATTCCCCCCAGAGATACTCTGGCTAGTTCTGAAGAAATTCAGAGTACTCTTCTAAGCTGAACTCTTGAATAGTTTTACAAACTGAAGGCGAGGTTCTAATCTTCAGTAACTATTGGAACATTGCTGTTCTTTGCCACTAACTGAACAAAGACCCAGGTGCAATGGGATTAATAACCTTCTGTGAGCCCAGAGCAGCCAGATGGACACATCTGTGGCCTATGCCAGAAGACCTCCACGGTCATTGCAGCACAGAGACTGATGGGCACAGTGGCTGATGTTGCACAGGCAGAAGCCCCCACTCAACTGAGGGTGTCGCCATCGCCAACACCTTACCCCACGGTGTCTCTCAACTCAGTAGGACACCACAGTGAGACCCCTTGATAATGCAGTCATTTCATATTTGATATAACCTGGCCTTGAGTAGAGAAGTCTTGTTTTGCATATGGTGGTGCGGTAACTCTGGGGCTGTTACCAGCTTGCTCCTTCACCCCAGGTAGCCCCTGGTAGTTAGAGATTAAATGAAACACAGACAAACACAGGCCATGTGTTCAAAAATGTGTAGCTTGGGCTCATGCTGAGTGATACGCGAGGAACAGGCAAGACTGAGTAAAATTATGAACCAATTCTAGAAAAAGCATCATCTCTGTTTACACTAAAGTTGCAGTACTAGTACTTTAGTCTTTGTGCACAGAAACTCTCACAAGGGACAGTGTACATTTGAGAAACACTAAGACTTCTAGTATGGTGTCTCATGGACAGATAGAATAAGGTCACTTACTAGATTTAAGACCTCAAGAGAAAACAATAATGAAAAATCCAAAGGATTTTCAGAAGAGATAAGTTTACCAGCACATTTTCAGATAGGCATAATCACCGTGTTTTAGCTATTGGTGCTAGAAACTGAGTAGACCTAAAAAAGGGGACGTATTCTCTGAGTTTCTCTTCTTTTCCTCTTTTTCTGCTTTTCATGAGACTCAGATATTGGTTGTCGGTATGAGCTTGTAGCCATTTGTCCAGAGCTCTTACCTAATCAAGTGTGTGAGTGAGTGTGTGTGTGTGTGTGTGTGTGTGTGTGTGTGTAGACAGGCACAGACTACACATCTGTACCACACACATGTATACCTATACATATATTCATTTCTCCCACACATACACAAGCACACGTGGATACACACACACACACACACACACACATGTATCTGTAGTCAGTAATATAACACCTTTTCATGTGTGTCAAAACAGCCCTTTGGAACCTGGCATTGGCAGTTTTCCTCATGTGCATTCGACACTTGAATTCTGTGTGGAAACAGAGCTAAGGAAACCTCAGTTTATGAAGAAGGTCGGACCTCTGCTTGTATGGCCTCACCACCAGTGCCACTGCCAGAGATTCTTATTGGCAACTTCCCCTAGCAATTAGTTCATGGCGCTTTCTGGCAACCCGTGCCTAGTTCTATTTGAGCTTAATAATACTTCATCTGTTACTGTGTTTATTTCCTTGCCAGCTCCTTAGGTTGAAAGACCAAATGGTATGTATTCTTGAAAGGAAACTGAAGTTCAGAGGTGTTGTAAAAGTTTGCCAAGGGCCCCACGCAGTAGAGTGGAGATTAATTCAGACAGTCTGTGTGCCTATGAGCCATGCTTCACTAGAAAAGTCCATTTTCAAAGAGAACGAGAGAATACAAGATGAAGAAAATAATAATAATAATTATAAGTGGGTTGGATATAATTTTGTAGGTGCTGTTCTATTTTTACTGATAAATGACTTAGAAACTTTTTTGGTTTTTATATGATATTGACTTTGGTTAAAGGCAAACATTCCTCCATATTTTTCTGTCACTTCAGTAACAGCGAGAGTCTAAAGCACTTCGCCGGGGTGCCTTAGGAGTTCCAGGCTTTTCTTTGGTGATGTGCTCTGACTGTGAGAAGGTGCCTCCTGGCCCGGGGGAATAGGCTCCTTTGAGAGGGAAGAGCAGGGCTGCAGCAGGTTGCTATGGCCGTATTTCGCATTGCTGAGCATTCCCCCATGGAGAATGAACACACGGCTCTACTAGATATCTGCTAAACAATGGCAAGTAGACATGCTTTGTAGGAATTAAGTACCTCAGCATGCTCGTTCATCCTTTACCTATGCCCTGTCCTACAGATATCCAGGTCTCTCCTACCTGTGCAGGTAACGGATATGCATTCGGTGATTTGGAGGACAGTGATTTGCCCCAGCAGTGGTCCTCTGCTTCTGTCTCACCACTGCCTTGCTGTATGTGACCTTCAAACAGTCCTCTGCCTTGTTGAACATCACTGTTCTTATGACCTTTTTGATGAAAACATTGTAGGGTTAAATTCAATATTATCTGAAATTGCAGCTTCTACAACAGGAAGATGTGTTGTATAAACACATAGAGCTTGAATATTCTCTGGTCTTTTCCATATATTCCTGTCAGATTCATCCACAACAGAATGTGGTAGAGATCAGAAAGCCTTTCTTGTGGCTTGATATTTTTCTTTCCCAGTCATTATCAACAACAACAACAACAAAAAATCAGCACAATCCCACTGAAAAGAGAAAAAACCTTTTGGTTATTCAGCGGGCATGCCGTACCCTAAATTACAGTTGAAGATCTATTCTTGTCTTCTGAAGCTAAATAGTTTTGAAGAGGAAGGCTCTTCTTGTTACAGCTCTTGTGCGATCTATGAGTGACAGCAAGTCACTGCGGGTTTCCACTGTGAGAAGTGGGCCTGTTATTCCAGGCCACATCTCACACCTCGTCAGGACATAGACGTGGCAGTGAATCAGGTCAGTTTCAGTCCACTTCCTCATAGCTGGGCAGTGTCAGTAGCCTCACAAGCCTTCACCAGCAAAGCCATGTCTACCTGTCCACTTCTACACGTTGCTGAGAGGGTAAAATTAGAGAATTTTCTAAAAGTCATACTAAGAGTGATAGCTCATCCAGGTGCCACTGTGCCAGCACAGCTCTAAAGGCTTTGCAAATCTAAAATATTGAATCCTGCAAAGCAACCCCATGAGGTAGGTGCAATTATTTCCTCCATTTTACAGATGGGAAAAAATCAAGGCATAAAGTATTACATGGCTTTTCAGCTGATGAATAATAACTGGGATCTGAAACCAAGTAGCCCGGCTGGCTGCACACTTGCCCACTAAGCTGCATTGCCTCTTTCCTGTATGGGAAACAGCAGTGTAACAGAGAAAATATTTATCAACTTGTTGGTGTGTTCACCAGTTGTTTATAAAGAGTCTGTTTGTGATTAATTTTGTCCTTGATATTTACCTTGTAACCACTGTAGACCCTGAAGTTTGAAAGGGAAGCTGCAGGGAAGAATAGGTGTGTCTTAGTTTTCTCATTGCTGAGACAAAATCCCCAACACTCACAAGTTAAAGGAGGAAAGATTTATTGTAGCTCACAGTTTGTAGACGTTTCGCTTCATAGTTGGCTGGCTCCAAGGTGGGATAGCTGGCAGACAGGCGTTGCAGAGGAGAAACAGTCCATGGTGGACAGAAAGCAGAAAGACAGCAAAGCAGTGAAGTGGAGAAAGCAAGCAGAAAGGGATCAGTAATAAGTGACCCCAGCACCCCTCTTTCTGTCCCTTATATTCTGTCCAGGCTTCATGCCCTTAGGGCAGGTAAGCACTCACACCTAGGGTGGGCCTTCCCATTATCCACTGCCAGAACTATGCCAAACCTGTTAGTGGACTAATTTAGTAATCACACACCCTCAATCCCAGCATCACGCACTCTAGATGCCGCCACCTCTGAAAAGCCTGACCTATGATCATATGAGGCTTTGGGGGGACATCTATGATCACCAGTCATCTGCCTGTGTACCCACCATTATAAATCTAAAGCTACCCATTTGGAACTTGACCTAGTACTAAACCTTGTTGTTCTCAGAATGATGAACAGAGAGAAAAATGTCTTTTGATTAAAATGTCATCCCCTGGATCCATGACACACAGTGCGTTTTCATACAGATCCACATCACATCAACCCTTCCTCTAGAGCAGAAACAGTCTGGAAAATAACCTCGACTAATGCATTTGGTCTTGCTGCAACTTGGTCTGTTTCACAGTCATCCAGTTCGAAGTCCTTATTGTCCCCACACTACTTCAGACTCATCACTCTTCTCTCCTAGTTCTCAGTTACTTCCCTGTCTTTTTCCTCCACCACCTTCCCAGCTTGGGTCTGCTCTCTGTAGACTCTGCCTATTTGGCCCAGGTAGATTTGCCACCATTATGCTCTTTGGTACCCTGCAACCCTATGCAATTCTTTTCATCAATCAACAAGAATATATTAATGAGATCATCATGCTCCTGCTACTGTGCTAGGCATTCAGAAGAATTATGAATGTGGAATTTACCCTTAAAGTGCTTCCATCTAATTAGTGAAAGATGACTCATGTACCTGAAAAAGATGGAGCTCTATGTAGGATGAGAGGGAAGGTCTCACTTGTCCATCAGGGCGAGAACTAATAACCATGACCATTCCACAGAATCCAACCCATTTCCTTGCATGACCTCTGAGTATTTTCTGGTAAAATGAATAAATGAAGAAAGCTAGCATATCAGATGGTTTCATGGAAAAGGGGAAACCCAAATCTTAAAGGATGGCCAAGATTGGGGTTAATGTAGACAAAAGGAGCAAGGGTACATTATAAATGGAAATGGATACAATGAATTTAATGGAATGAGGAATTTTGCCTGCTTGGAACACATTACGTAAGTTGAAAAATTCTTTTATCTCTTTAGGTACAATAAGAGGACTTTGGCTTTGTTAAACAGCTTTAAAAGGTTCTGTGGGTTTGTGTGTGTGTGTGTGTGTGTGTGTGTGTGTGTGTGGCAAAGGACAAGATAGTGTTAAATTAGCAAGATTTGCGGGAGCTCAGAGAAGCTGAAACGAGGTTCCATGAGGAGGGCAGCATCACAGCAGGCTATTAGAACAGGTTTGAGGGCAGTGTGGAAGGGTAGGTAACTACAATAGGAAATGTTTTGATGAACAGTGCAGCACAGTACCATCACTCTCTGGGGAAGGATGGATCGAACATAACTACAGGGTACCTGACAGTGTCATCAAAAACTTAAGAAGGACAGCTGGGCATGGTGGTGCACACCTGAAATCCCAGCACTTGGGAGGCTGAAGGAGGAGGATTGCTGTGAGTTCGAGACCAGCCTGGGCTACATAGTGAGTTCCAGGTCAGTCTCAACTACACAGTGAGGCCCTGTCTCAAAAAAAAAACTTAAGAAGGATAGTTGGTTTGGGAGAGGAGAAAAGTGGTTTTGGGCAAGCGCATACAGAATAACAGTAACATCCAGTCATTATCTTATTAGAGATGAAGGTTTCCAGAAGGACGGAGAAGGCATGTTAGAGATGTATCCTCAAGCAATGTCACACAGAGGTTGTTGGGAAATAGGGCTTCAGTGATGGCTGTTGGTTGGCACCCATGAGGTGCTATTGGAATCCCACGCTGACAGTTAGAACATGCAACAGCACCATCAGCAGCATCCCCTGAGCTGTGTCCAGACTTGGCGTTCCCCTGAGAATCGAGCCATGCTGAATGATGTCTGAGTTGGTGGTACTCTCAGCATGTGGGCAGCCTGGGGTCTTCAGAAGCCTGTGCTGCTGATCACAAGGTGTATGCAAGCGTGCACCTGGAGGATGGTTATGTTGAATATTTCCTGCTGCTGCCTCCAAGGCTTTGCTGTAGCTGAGATGGGCTTCTCATTTGATGAATTGGCTTTGCCTGTCATGATGTGGCTACAGATATACCTCTGTACATCTTCATTAGGCAAAGTGATAAGTACTCAACATTTAAATGTGTGGCAACACCCACCAGAATCTCAAAGAGGAGTAGGTTCATAAGTCCGTTGTATCTTGAACAGCAATTATAATTGTTTCTACTGCAGTAGAAACTCAGTACCCAAATGACTACTGACTTTTCAAATGGCTTCAATCTTAAGGTCTTTCTGGCTGTCTTGGGCAGGGTAAGACTGATATTTTTCTCTTGAATGAGTGTTTTTTGGTTTTGTTTTTGTTTTTTGTTTTGGTACCAGGGATTGAACTCAGGTCCTTGCGCTTGCAAGGCAGGCCACCGAACCACTGAGCTAAATCCCCCGGCCCTCTCTTGAATGACTGTTTTGCAAAGTTATCACATCCTTTATGTTAATCAGCTTTCTGTTGCCATGACAAAACACCTGAGAAAAATCAAATTAAAAGGAGGAAAGCTAGCCAGGTGTGGTGGCTCACACCTATAATCCCAGCACTCGGGAGGCTGAGACAGGAGGATTGCTATGAGTTCGAGACCAGCCTGGACTACATAGTGAGCTCCAGGTCAGTCTCAACTACATAGTGAGACCCTATCTCAAAAAACCAAAAAAAAAAAAAAAAGGAGGAAGGCTGGTGGCATATCCCTGTAATTCTGGGCACTAGGGAGGCTGAGGCAAGAGAATCACAAGTTCAAGTCCTGCCTGAGCTACATAGCAAGAGCTGACCTCAAGAAAAAAAGGGAAAGATTTATTTTGACTCATGGTTATGGAGGGGAGGGGGAATGAATACCCTACCAGGTCACACCCCCAGTGACCCTCCTGAAAACACATTCAACTTTGAACTCTTTAATGGATTAATCCGCTGATGACTATAGTGTTCCCGTAATCCAATCACATTCTGAAAGCCCCACCTCTAACCACATGAGCCTTCTGAAGTGCATTCTAGATCCAAACCATAACATCATAACATTCAACCCCAGGCCAACAAAAGACTTATATCCATCTCTTTATTCAAAATGCATTTAGTCCATCTCCAAGAGTTGTGAAAGCCTTAACATTTCCACCACTGCAGAAAAGTCCAAGTCCAAATTTTCCTCTGAGACTCCAGGCAAACTCTTAGCTGGGCATCCCTGTAAATAAAAACACTGCCAATATACAATGTTACAGGTACATCCCCAAAGGAAAAAATGAGGGGATAGAAAGAAATTGGACCAAAGCAAGACCGAAACCCAGCAGAGCTAACATTCAATCTATCCCTCCATGTCCAGCACCTAAGGCAGGTTGTAGTAAGAGATGAGCTCTAGATGGCTTGAACAACTCTGCCCCCATGGCACTCATAGCCTCCCTGTTGGGATGGCTCTGCTCACTGCCTGTACTTTTCCTCCGTGGTCATCCCAGCTTCCTGGCATCTCCATCTTCCCGAACTCTGCACTGCACTTTGGCTTCACTTTCAAAGTTTCACACATCACTTTCTCGGGGGCATGTAGCCTGGCCTCCCAGGCCAGAAATCTGTGTAGAAGCTTCCCTGACCACATAACTCTTTTATCTGGAATTCCGGAGAAACCAGCTCCACAGGCACGATGCCAAGGTCTGCCGCCAGCTCATGCGGTAGTTGGGGATCTCCTTGGACCATGGCTGCAACAGCCTCTGAGTTTCTAGGTATCTGAACTTGGGGAAACACTTTCGTAGGTGACCCTGAAAGAGCAGGGCAACCTGAGACTGTCTTCTCAAAGTCTTTCAAAGGAGTTTACCCTGTTTATATCTTTGAGCTCGAAATGAGTGGAGTCTGGCCATTTCTTCTGGTTCTCAATATAAATCTGGCCAGAATCAGCCAGGAGTACCTATGCCAAAGTCTGAATGAAGAGCTGGCTTGAAATTTTCTCCAGAGTAATTAGTCCACCACCCTTAATCTCAATTTCCTACAAAGTCTCAGAATATGGGCAAAAACAGACACATTTTCTGGCAGAATATACCACACAGAGCCTCTAGTCAACCTGCCAATGTACTCCTTGTTCCCAACTGGAGACTCCCAAGGCTGGCCTTTACTGCCTGCTTTCCTATAAGCATTCTGGCTTTCTAAGCTCCAAATGGAATCACCGATCAACCTGTTTATAGCATCCTAGGCCTTTTCTGGTCTGTACCTGCAAATCTTTCTACACTCCTCCCACGATCCATCCCAAAAGCTTCTAAACCACATAGCCTGGTACAGTCACAGCAGCAACCCTACTCGTGGAACCAGTGTTCCCACTGCTGGAACAGAATACCCAACACCTGCGACTTCAAGGAGGTGAGCTGGTTCCAAGGCAGAAATAGCATGGTGGAAGGGCACGGCAGAGGAAAGCTGCTCAATCATTGGGCGTTAGAATGTAGAGAGAGAAGGGAGGGACCAGGGTCAAGAACACACCCTTCCATGGCCCACCCTGGGTGATACACCTCCAACAAGGTCCCACCGCCTTATAGCACTTTCAGCCATGAATTCATCATAATCAGGAGATTCATCCGCTGATGAGTTTAGCACCCCATGATTCCATCGCCACTCCGAGCTCTGAATACGTGATGGTTTTGGAGAACATCTTAGATCTAAACCAGTACAAGCACATCTCCAGCGACATACTTACCCCAGTGAGGCCCCACTGCTTGAACTTTCTGCCTCCCAACAGCCTTTTAAGTTAACAATCCATAAATGGATGAATCTATTCATGAGATCAGAGTGCTTATGACCCAATCACCTGCCAAAGGCACAGCCTCTAGACACTGCTGCATTGGCTACAAAGCCTTCAACACATGAGCGTAAGACCCACGCCTAATAGCCCATGAGTTTTGGTATTTTAAAAGAAAATTTCCCACTTGATTAAAAAAAAAATGTTTTAAGTCAGCTTTGAATGATACTGTGAAGGGACTGATCAATGTCCTATGAGAAGGCCGAAGGACTGTGTATTATTTGTGAGAGGGATGCAGTCTGATGCCTTTTGCCTTGCTGCTCTTTTGAAAAGTCATAGCTGCTAGGGAGAGAGAAAAAACAGCCCTGAAGTGTAAAGCAGAAGCAAACGTGCATCAGGAGTCCTTCGTTGTTTTCACAGGCTTCTTCCATCGGGACTTGAAGCCAGAGAATCTCCTCTGCATGGGACCAGAACTGGTGAAAATTGCAGACTTTGGATTGGCCCGAGAAATCCGATCAAGACCTCCCTACACAGACTATGTGTCTACCAGATGGTGAATACTGTTTTTCCCAAAATTATTTCATTGCATTTCTTTATAAGGATACCATTTTATTGGGAATGAAGTCAGTCATAAACACTAAGCTTTAAATAGCAGGAAGAGTGCAGTCTGAGACACTCTTTGTAGGTGTGTTGCCATTGGAGGAGGTTAAAGACTCATGTGGTAAATAATTTTAAAAGGAAACCTATTATGTGTTTCCAAGGTACAAGATTTTATATATAGGCCTTCCCAATAACATTTTCCCCAGAAGAGTTATATAAGAGGTTCTCTGAAGATCTGTCTGAAAAACCATCTAATTCTGTTGTTAAAACTTTCAAACCCTAGCAATTGATCTACACGGTTTGTCCGGATCAGGAAGTGGCCCTTGCACAGGTTCTTAGTTCCTTCCCTTCCTTTCTGTCCTCTCTTTCTTCCCAATGTTGTTCTCTCTGTGTGTCTCAGAGTGCTGTAGAGAAGACTCCTGTAGAGAAATGCTCCATAGACAGCAGTGTGCACAGAGAAGCACTACTGTTTTAGCAGCAACCACAGCAGTCATGAAGTCCTTCAAGTCAACGTACTACACTGAACTAGAGAAAGCAAATACAGACACTCTTACTAAGAATCGCTTGCTATTTAATGTAACTTCTGACCAGTGGAAGTGATAGCTAGTAGCTAACTCTGTTCCTCCAGGTATAGGGCTCCAGAAGTCCTCCTGAGGTCCACCAACTACAGCTCCCCCATTGACGTCTGGGCCGTGGGCTGCATCATGGCAGAGGTGTACACACTCAGGCCGCTCTTCCCTGGGGCCAGTGAAATTGACATGATATTCAAAATTTGCCAAGTGTTGGGGACACCAAAAAAGGTAATGGTATAAACAAAGGCCTGTGGGCCAAAGCCAGTGGCTTTCTGGGCTCCCTCTCCTGCAGCACTGAGTAGCACTGACGCTGTTGAGCTCGGCCATTCTCCCCTGCCCACACCCTCAGACATGGCCACTTCTCTCCTTCCTTCCTCTCTGAGGTATGATCTCTGTCATGGCCCCCTCTGCTTTTGCTCTATACCATCTCACCTCCTTCGTGGAGCTTCTCTGTTCTCATGGCTGCCACATTTTACACCTATTCAGAAGTCACCGAAGTCATCTGCAGTCCCCACCTCCCTACTTTACAACTGTCTTGGGATCCACACCCCCCTCACCATCACCTCAAACTCTGCACATGTAAAACAGTGTTTTAAAAAATGACTTCCCCTTACCACCCATCGTGCTTCCTTTCCATATCCCAGTCTGTGGTTCCCTCCTAGTCCCAGAGGCCCAGCCTTGGGGTGGATTTTACTTTGCCTTCTTTCCTTCCCTTTGTCTAAGCAGTTGGTCAGTAAATTCTGTTCAGTATCCTTCATGGTATCTCTCCGGTGGCTCCTGTCCTTTCAGGTTCACTGCTAATGTCACAGACAGGACAGTGGTCACCCTGTCCAGGTCTTAGGATATCCTCTCTACTTCATTTTTTTAAAAAGTTATTTATTTTGTGGTACTGGAGATCAAACTGGGGACCTTGCGCTTGCAAAGCAGGTGGTGGAACCGCTCAGCTAAATCCTCAGCCCTATCTGGTCAACTTTACTGCCTTCCCATCTTTACCTTAAGGTTGTCTTGCAGTCTGTGCCCAGATCCATCCTCCTAAAGAACATCTCTAGTTATTGATCTCCTCTCCTAAAAGTACTCCTTGACAGCCCTTTGCCCAGCCGCTTGACTCATTCCTGTCCCACTTGGTATCCGTGCTCCCCACCCACCAGCTGCGTGCCCCAGAGTGATCCCATTCCTGCACCCTACACACACCCTCTGCCTGAGCCACCTGAGGGAGTGTCCCATCCGTGATCAAGTCTTTCTCTTCTTCTCTGGCCTCCATCTCCACCCTTACTGTTTTTCCAGTCTCCTGTCTGTCCTCAGCTTTGTTCTGTGTAAGCCATGTGCATATCTATTTCTTAGATCATAAAATCATTCCAGGCAAGAAATTATCTTGTATTCATTTCCCCACCTTCCAGCACCATTGCTGATATGAACTAGAGTCTCAACATTTTTTAAATCATTTGAATGGATCATTATTGCCACCTCATCAAGGTTCCCAGAGTGGCATCTCTTCATCCTCTTCAAATCTGTGTCTTTACTTCTCTCGTGGCCTTTGTCATTTTTCACTCTATATTATTGTGTTTTAAAATAATGTCCTATTTCCTCTTTTAAGGACAATGATATCCTTAAGGGTAGGATCCATATTAGATTATAGTTGGCTTTGAAAAAGGAGGAGGAGGTATATTAGGGTATATCCTACACAGCAGTACTGTTAGAACCAGCAGGAACCTGAAAGAGCCCTTGCTCGGCGTGTTCCAGAGTTCCACCACCATTTAGTGATTCAAGAAAAGTGGAGAGTATGAGACTGTGGGGAACAGCTTTCTTTCCTGCTGGTCTTCTCAGCATGTGTATTTTGAGTCATGAAGTTGGGATCTAGTAGGATATATGTAAGAGTTTAGAAGTTTATTTGAGCAGGAACAAACATCTTGTTTCATTTTGTTTTCCTCCAAAATGTATCTCATTAGTGGTTTCTAAAACCTTGCCTCCTGAAACACAGCTGGGGAAATACTAATTTGCTTCAGTCTCAGAATCTCCAGAGTTAGATATTCTTATGTAAGGGTTATAAAACAAGTTGGTGACAAATCCAGTGTCTTTTCTAGTGTTTCCCAGATTTCACGTCCTCTGTAGGCTCTTCATTAACGCAGTCCTGTGTCTCTGTCCAGTGAGCGTGGGAGGGGCAATGACATCACTGCCTTTCCAAGAGGGGCACACAGGGAGGAAAGCAAGCTCGAGTCACAGCAAGGGGCTTAGCAAGACTTGCTGTCTTTTTTTCTTTCAGACTGACTGGCCCGAGGGCTACCAACTTTCCAGTGCTATGAACTTCCACTGGCCCCAGTGCATACCCAATAATTTAAAGACTCTGATTCCAAATGCCAGCAGCGAAGCAATTCAGCTCCTGAGAGACCTGCTTCAGTGGGATCCTAAGAAACGACCAACAGCTAGTCAGGTTTTCTTTGAGTTTCTTCTGTTTGATGCAGTGCTTATGAAGTTAATGTCTAATTCCCAATAATTTCTATAAATTCATGGGAAATGTATATGGCACAAGAAGTTAAAGAACTTTGAAATTTACTGTATATAATTAAAGTAGCTAACATTAAACAATATAGTTGCTTTAAAATCAACATGCCATTTATAGGATATATCACCATATATGTGGAAATGAAGTTAACAGATCTTTGGAGAGCGCTTTTAAATATATTCTCTGTGAAGTAAGATCATGGCTGAGTCTGTGGAGCTTCGTACTACAGTAGTCAGCTCACAGTAGTTTAATGATAAGCCAGTACTGGTTGTGTGGAAAGGTAACTTCTTACCTTGTGCAGTGCGACTTGCTTTATTACGTGACAACATGGAGGAAATGACAGGTGAGGGAGAGCCGGGCTAACAACTGCAGTTGGCATTTAATGGCACTTTCCAGTTTGCAAATGGCTTCACTGTGATTCTAACCTGGTGAAGAGCCCATGCAATGGATATTTTTGTTTTCATTTCTATAGGTAAAAAACCCCAGAATCTCAGAAAGTTTAAGTGATTTGCCCCAGTAGATGGTACAGACAGTGCAACCAGCTGCAGTCCTTTCGTGCAGATGGTGGGGCTTCTGCCCGAGTTCCTGTTCGGGGCCACTTGGCCCAAGATTGTGAAATGCACTCGAGTGAGGCATGGTAGGGCTGTGGGCTCCTTCCGCCCATCGGCCTCCTACAAGCCTCCTCTGCCCTGGGTGTGTTTGGCCCCTTCTCAGCTTGTCTCGTGGATGCTTACATTGCTCAGAGGATCAAATAAGTGACCAATTATAATCAAAGAAGTTTATTTGGCTACTGAAAGTAGTGGCGATAAATGAAAAAGTGTGAATGTGGTGTGAGAATTTGTGGTAGCAGAAGAGATGGGTCATTGGAGGAATAATTAAGGAGTGCAGAATAGCTTTTTTCAAAGGCTTAAAGAAGAAAGACCTAGAATCTGCCATAAGGCTCTGGCTGACTCAAGAGAGTTGGACAGCCCTCAGAAATGCCCTTTTGATAATGAAAATCACAAATGGTTTGAGGGCAAAAAGAAAGATTTCTGATGAAACTTCTGATGAATCCTTAAAAGACGGACACAAGATATGAAAATAAGATCCTGTTACAGGCAACTAAGAAAATAACGTATGTTTTTAAGAATAAGAAAAGCTGGGCTGGGGATTTAGCTCAGTGGTACCACGCCTGCTTTGCAAGTGCAAGGTCCTGAGTTTAATCCCTGCTACATTAAAAAAAAAAAAGATTAAGAAAAGCTAAAAATATTCCATATCATTCTAGACTCGTAAAAATGCCTGGAACTGCAGAGAAGTCTTTCCAACTTAGATGCTGGAGGGCAGAACCTTTATCTGGACACCGCATTATTCACCCCTGTATCTACACTTAGCGTATAAGCTTACCAATGTGTCTAACTCATTAAGAAATACTGTTGTTTTTCAACGACTCTAAAAAGATAACAGTAATGCAGAAAATATTTCAGAAAAATATATTATAAACCTTAAGACTTTAAGATTTATCCTTGGCTATCCTGAAAACCTGATTATCCAAAACAACTGGCACTCACCCTTGTCATGATAGGGAAGGTTTACCTATATTATGTTAACTGCATACTCTTCACACTTCGTGGGTGAAAGCATGTGTATCTACTTATTTTGTACTTGCTTTTCAGTGTCTTCCAGTATCATTATGTTTGGATTTTGTTGTTGTTGTTGTACATTATTGTTTCTCTTCCTGTGATGTGACAAAATGGACTTAGAAGGGTGACATATATTTAGGGCACAGGGCAAGTGCATTACAAAAGCAGGATCTGGCCAGGCGTGGTGGCACTCGCCTGTAATCCCAGCACTTGGGAGGCTGAGGCAGGAGGATCGCTGTGAGTTCAAAACCAATCTGGGCTACATAGTGAGTTCCAGTTCAGTCTCAACTACATAGTGAGACCCTGTCTCAAACAAACAAAAAAAAAAGCAGGACCTGTGTTGAACCAGAATGCTTTTCAGCAGTAACAAAAGTAATAGCAGTGCAACTGGCTACTTTATCCAAATAATTTTAAGTGTTGCAACTGGTATGTAAATGTTACAGTATGCTGGGTGAGGAAAGTCACAGGGGTGTTGCTGAGTCCATGTCATCTTGTAATTGGCTTGGGCAAACTTCTGGGGTCCTCTGATTGGGATGGTTCATTCTCCTGGACTGACTTATAGCCCCACCCTGACCTGTCACTTCCAGGCACTTCGATATCCCTACTTCCAGACCGGACACCAGCTGGGCATCACCACACAGAACCTGCAGGACTCAGAAAAGCCACAGAAGGATGTCCTGGAAAAGGCAGGCCTGCCTCCACACATCAAGCCAGTCCCCCCTGCCCAGCCCCCAGCCAAGCCGCACATGCGAATTTCTTCCCGGCACCATCACGCCAGCCAGCCCCCTCAGCATCTCCTGTACCCCTATAAAGCAGAGACCTCGAGGACAGATCAGCAGAGCCATACTCAGGAGGACAAGCCAAGCCCACTGCTTTTCCCGTCCCTCCACAACAAGAATCCTCAGCCGGTAAGCATGGAGAATGTACCCGTGAGCTTTGGGTCTGACTCTTCTGACCACGTATATCGTGTCAAATATTTCCTTTTCAGTAAACAAAGTCTAAGTGTAATACATTTATCTTTGCAGTGCCAGGGACCCTAGGTTTAAAGTCTAAATTCAAGCTCTGGCTCCACCTCTAAATACGAGCATCACTTGGCTGGTAGCTGTGCGGCAGGGGTCGCCGCTGTGCTCTGCAGCCCGATTGCCAGGGTCCCAGATGTCAGCTCTGGCATTCAGTAGCCCGATGACCTGAGCAGGCTCTGTGGCTGCTCTTCTTCCGGCGTCTGTAAGACAGGGATGATAGTAACAGCATACACCTGAGGTGATTGTTTGGGAAACTAAATGACTTGACATTTGAGAAGAATTTAGAAAAGTCCCTGGCACCTACTTCGAACTCATGGTCAGTCACTATTTCATTAACCTGTGCTGACTCAGTGTCATGATCTGTAAGAGGAAGATCACATTGCTCAGACAGGACCGTCCATGAGCATCAAAGATGGTGACCCTTGTGAAGGTGTTTTGAAAATCGCAAAGTGCTGAACCGATAGCTACTGATTGCTGTTCACATTGCTCCTGGACACTGATGTTAACACTGGGCTATTAGGTGAGCCCAGATCCTTCTTTCCTTGGGCTGATTTTCAAAGGGAAACAATGAGTGTTGGGTTGAATAGAACAACAACCTGATGACATTATGCTTGTCATTAGCTTTGTGATGCTGTCTGAAGGGCCTGACTCTAACACCTTTGAATCTTAGCATTCTGGGAGGCTGAGGCAGGAAGATGGCATTCAACTCCAGCCTGGACAATTTTTCGACTTAGTAAGACTGTGGGCCAGGATGTAGTTCCATGCCAAGGTACAGGGTTCAATCCCCAGTATAGCAAAAAACAAGACAGAATTTTTAAAAAACCTCTTTGTGTCAGCGGGTGTTGACTGACTGTGGGATCCTACATGGCACAGTGTGGGCCCTGCTCCCCCAGGCCGTTCACTTCACCCCACCCACACTCTTGTGTTTGAGGATGTCCTGCTGTAGCAAGTTGTACAGTTATAAGATCATGTCCAGATTTACTGAAAAGGCAGAGATGGCGTTGTTTGCCTTGGTTTCTCTGAGTGAACACCACTGAACGTTGGTTCTGTCTTAGAGACTGTTGTAACAGTGGAAATCATGTTAATGCTTCAGGGCTGAGGTCCAAATGAGAATCCAGCCACCTGCCTAGTGTATAAGAAGACTTTCACACGTCTTTCTTAAGTCCTGTTTCATATAGCTGAGTATACTCAGCGGATGCCAGCCAGTGTTAATCTTCGCAGGATAGGTGAGAGACAGAATGTCTGGCGATGTGGTTTCCACGGTTGCCTTTTCACATAAGCAGGGCCTTGGAGAATGGTAAGCCTTTGACTCCTTTCTCATAACAAGGGAATCACTCATGAATGAACTCCATTAATGCCAAGCATGTTTTTCCCCCTCTCTACTGGGATGCACAGAAAATCCTAGCTGGCCTGGAGCACAAAAGTGGTGATATCAAGCCAAAGAGCAGGAGAAGGTGGGGCCTTATTTCCAGGTCCACAAAGGATTCTGATGATTGGGCCGACATGGACGATCTGGATTTCAGTCCACCCCTCGCCAGGATTGACCTGAAAAACAAGAAGAGGCAGAGTGACGACACTCTCTGCAGGCAAGTGTGCTGCTTTCAGCTGTGAGTAGACAACACCCGGCATCAGAGAGGTCCTGTGGGCCTTTCTGAAGATGTGAGCTCTCCCTTCCCTCCCCCACCGCTCCCTCTCCTGCGCGGACTCAAGCCATGTTCTCTTGATGCAGATTTGAGAGCGTTTTGGACCTGAAGCCCTCTGAGCCTGTGGGAACCGGAAACAGTGCCCCCACGCAGACCTCCTATCAGCGGCAGGACACGCCCACCCTGAGGCCTGCTACCAAGCAGCACTACCTGAAGCACTCCCGATACTTGCCTGGTAATATGCACCGCTCACCTTTAAGTCTTGCCCTTCGAGTCACAAATTCATACCAACTCTGCTTTGGAAGGCAGATACTTCCAAATTAGTCCTTGTGCTTGCTTGGTGTACAGGTTTAGATAATACTAGGTCTTGCAGGGCAGACTCTGCTCGAACCTCCCCTTGCTCATGAAGAGAAATCTGCATTTCTTATAAGACTCACAAGGTGCTTCTTGCGGGGGCCGGGGATTTAGCTCAGTAGTTCTGCTGCCTGCCTCACAAGTGCAAGGACCCGAGTTTGATCCCTGGTACCAAAAAAAAAAATAAAGTTGTTTCTTGCCACATGCCACATTACCTCCAGTCTGAATATGAGCTGGCCACACTGGCCTCTGCCGCAGTTGTTTATTTATTTATTCTCAAAGGAATAGAATGCAGAGCTGCTTATTTCATTGCTTAAATTAAAACACGGCAGGAATGATTGCCAGTAATAATTTCAAAAGGCTCACTACATACATTTGGGGGAAACAAGGAAGCTACACTATCTTATGCCACAAAAATATTTGATATAACCAGTGATGGGCATGCATAATTGGCAAAAGCAGAATATTAACAAGATTTGACATTAGATGGTTGGTTGAACACATAGATTCCACAGTTTTATACCAGAAAGCATGCCATTATGATTATACTTCGCCAAACCTAGGCTGTCCTTGGACTCACTGTGCTGCTTAGGCTGGACTTCAACTCACAGCAATCCTCCACGCCCACCGTTTAAACATTTTTCAAAACATAGACTATTTACTTGTTCAGAACTTCTGCTTAAATCAGATGGGCCTGCCGGAGTCGAGCCATACCAGCAGGCCCGGGTAGATCAAAGAGGCTGCAACCCCAAGGCCCTTCAGGTTGTGGGGGCAGACTGCATAAAAGCAGCTAAAAGCCGCTAAAGCTCACCCAAACTGGGGCTGCGTTGCCCAGAGCTTGCTGGAGGGGCTCAGCTTCAGGCCTTGGGCATGCCTAGAGCATCAGGTGGTCAGACGGACTGCTAGGAATGTACCATGGTAGAGCCAGGGAGGCAGCGGCTGCCTGCACCAGTGCCAGGCCCAGCATCAGGTGCCTCTGGCTCCCAGACACCTTGCAGGAAGGTCACCAAGAAGGCAGTGCAAGGTAGTGTGAGGCCCCTGTGAGTGCAGACATGCGCCGGAGGGGGCACCACCACTGACACCGTAGCATCCGCCCCACCAAGCAGAGCCATCTTGAGGTCACCGCTCTCGGCTCCCAGGTAGGGCACCATAGACACATAGCTCTCTTGGCTGAAGCCTATGCAGGTGTGGGTCCATTGGGTGATAATGTTGTGAATACCTCACAGAAATATTTGCTGAAGCCTAGATGGCACATTTCTTACCTTACTTAGTCCTCTGAGATTAAAACAAAAATTGGTATAAGAAACTGGGTCCAGACTCTGCAGAAGGAGGAAAGGGCAAGAACTGGACAGCCTGTTGAAGCCGCTCCATAGACCAGGTCCAGGAGGAATGGGCAGGCAGTAGAGGGAGGAAGCTCGGTCAGTCCTGAGGGTGTTGGACTCCAGTGGTGTGCTGTAGTGCAATGGCACCCAAGCCTTTCTTCAGAGCTCTGCATTATGAGCTGACGGTGGTGGCTAATCATTCGCTCACACACTAACTCAGTCAATAAGTATGTGTTGAGCATCGACAGGGCACTGAGCCCTCGGTGTATCATGGTGAACAGAACAGCCACTGGAGCCCCGAGCTGCACAGCTCTAGGGTACCTTGGTCTCCTGGCCTCCACAGGAGCCCTGCAGGCAGAACACTTATAGCACAGTTTATCTCCTAATGCTGGGAGACCCTGGCCAGCAGTAATCACAGGTGGTGACAGAGTGGTAAGAAGGCCTCTGAGCAAGGGACTCTTAGCTGGGCCCCAGAGAATAAAAAACAGATGGGCACAAAGCTGAGGGAAGAGCACACCAGGCAGAGGAGTCTGCAGATGCAGAGGCAGGCAGGGCTTGGCCTGCAAGAGGAATGTCAGAGGCCAGTGTGCCCAGAGCATCTAAGAAAAGAGCCAGGAATACACAGCGTGAGGCACCTCGAGGGGCCTCATATGACCTTTGGACTTCACGGGATGAGCACTGAGAGCTCCCAAAGGGGTTTCCCTATCTGTGTGTGCGTGAAAGGGTGAAGAGCAGCGCGCTCTGGCTGCCATCCAGGGAGGGGTGGTCGCACAGGCCAGGAGAGCGGTCAGAAGAATGGGCAGGGATGGGGATGGGGACGGCATGGCAGGGCTTCCGCACACGTTAGTCTTCACTGGCTGGTCAGGAACAGGGAAAGGCTGCTAGGGGAGCGGTCAGAAGAATGGGCAGGGATGGGGATGGGGAGGGCATGGCAGGGCTTCCGCACACGTTAGTCTTCACTGGCTGGTCAGGAACAGGGAAAGGCTGCCAGGCTTCTTCAGGCTTGACTGTTCGTCTCCAAAGATTGACCTGACAGTTTCCAGGAATGTCTTTGAAAAAGAGAGATCAGGTGACAGGGACAGAGGGAGCCAGGTGTGTGGGAGTTACCATGACCAAAGGCAAAGGGGAGCAGGGAGTAGATTGGAGAGTTGTTTCTTTTTGGCTGTGAAGGAAGAAGAAAGATAAAAGAAGAATATAGATTTCAGTTCTGAAAATGGCTGTTGTGCCCAATAGAAGTGGAAACACAGAGCAGTTTGAAGGGTCTTCTTGACTAAGGCTGCAGGCAGTCAGCAGTTCTGTGGGAGTCCTGGAGTGAGGGGGACCAGAATTGGTGAAGGCGGTTGGTACAGATCCCATCATCAGCACAGGACGCCAAGAATAGCTGAGGTCAGGTGAGCAGATGGACCAGAAGACAGACACAGAAAGAGGAGAGCAGAAGCCTGCAGAGCCAGCGACTGGAGGTAGACAGGGATGAAAAAGGACACAGACAGGAGACACAAGGGAAGTGGGCTGCATAAGAGTGGAATATCAAGGAGCGGTGAGACCTGAACGGTGCTGGCAGGTCGTCACTGAGGCTGATGCACAAGAGGCCTCTCGGCCATGAACAAGCCAAGACAGTGCACCCACCTCGAGGACGCTGTCTCTGCCATCTGTCAGATGACATCATCACGAGTTTGGCTTTGTCTGCAGAACCGCAGGCAATGCTTGACCAACTGGGTTCTGTGTCAGTTTCGTCTCTGAAGTCCAGTACAAGATTAAATGGGTATTTTGCATTTTAAGTAAACTTTATTGTATATAATTAATTAAGGCAAGCAACATTGCACCCTTGCGTGGTAAAAAGTTTACTGTCATGGCAAATTAACATATCCATCGGCTCATGTAGTTATTCCCTTTTTTGGTTTTATGGCAAGATCAGCCAAAATCTATGCATTTAGCACAGACTTCACATATGGTACAAGTTTATCTCATGTTGCACTTTAGATCTCTGGACTCATTCATTGTGCACACTTGCTACTTTGTATCCTCTTACCTATGTATCTCCCCACCCCTGCCCTTGACAACTGTCTGTCACTTGTCTATCTCTGTATTTGATTTTTTTTTTCCTTTTTAGATTCCATGCTTAAGTGAGATCGTGGAATATTTTTCTGTCTGGCTGATTTCATTTCCCATAATATCCTCTAGTCTCAAGTGTGGCAGATTGAAAGGTCTTGTTCTTCTTAAGGCTGAATAATATATTCCATTGTATATATGTACCACAGGTTTTTCTCTGTCCAACTTCCTATAGATTTTCAATTTTAAAACCTTTTTTTTTCTCTTTTAGGAATAAATATAAGAAATGGCATGCTCCCACATCCAGGAAAGGACTTCCTTCCGTCTAATCCATGGTCCAGTTCTGGCTTGTCTGGAAAGTCTTCGGGGACAGTATCAGTAATCAGCAAAATAAATTCAGGCGAGTAATGATTTTAACTCTTAAATGGCAAAAATCAAAGCCTGTGGATGCCATGAGGTGAACAGAGAGAGATGTGGGACAAGTCCTTTCTGGTGTGAAGACGCACCCTGTCCTCCTCTCCCTTCCTCGGCAGCAGGCCCTGGACTCAGGCAGCTCCCGTAGGGCTGTACCCACTGATATTGCTGCAGAGTGCAGCAGACTTGTTCCTGGCCCAGCAATCTGAGTTTGGCCACTGGGTCCTGGCGTGCTGTGGGCAGCACCTTCTGAGGTGGAGATGGGCTTGGCTCTGTTTTCCTTGTTCCAGCTGGGAACTCTGCACGCTGACCCAGCCTTCAGCCCAGGGCTTCAGGTCTCCTCTGTTTGGGAGGTGGATAGTTTAAGTCCCCCCAACCACTTTTCAATTAATAGGCCCTACAGCTTGACAAGCCTGGCCCAGGAGGTCTGTCTCCACGGCTACCTGCCCCTCCAGGTGGTCAGGTGAATACCTGGGCTGCACTTTCCCACCTATGTCCACTAGGCCTCATTTATGTGAAGGAATACAAAACAAAAGTGATGTATGTCAATACCCATGTACCTACTTCCTAGTTTAAGAAGTCAAACTTCCGGGGATTTAGCTTAGTGGTTCTGCTGCTTGCCTCGCAAGTGCAAGGTACCAAGTTTGATCCCCAGTACCCAAAAAAAAAAAAAAAAAAGTCAAACTTCACAAATGTACACGAAGCCCAGGATCTAGACCATTTTCTCCTCTGCCCCTGCCCCAGTCCCATATATATGGGTGTCTGTTATTTTCATGAATTCATTAAAACTGTGTATGAAATTCATAGTGTGGGTTTGCATGTTTTAAAGTTTATCCTGGACCACCACTTCATTCATTTTAGCAAATATGTATGTGGCGATTGTGTACATCGCATTGTAGATGATATAATACAACATGTGTGTAACTAATAATATTATTATCAACTGTATGATGTCATAATTATTTATACTAAATCATTATTCAGTTTCTCCCTTTTTTGACAACTATGAGTTGTTTACAAGTTCGCTACCAGACAGGGTGCTGGAATATACACGATTGTGTTCCCATTGTTGTGTGAGGCTCTCTTTGGTGGAACAGGCATTTTAGGATTAAGGGTGTGCTCACGTTTGGCTTTGCAGATACGGCCAAAAGGCTCTGCAGCACACTATGGGAGTTGCATGCCATCCTAGACGCCACTTCGTACCATCCAAACTAAAATCTGTGCTAACCTGCTAGGTGCGAAATGGTGTCTTCCCGTGGTTTGAACCTGCACATCCTTTTTCAAATGATATTCACCATCTTTTCTTGGGTTTGTGGATTCTACATTTTCCCCCTTGTGTTACTGAACTGTTCAGATTCTCTTCCATTTTTTCCTCCTAATTCTTTTTTTTTTAGAATTCAACCAGTTTTGATTTTACCTTTTCTTTCTGTCTTTTTTTTTCTCTCTCATTGTGTGTATTGGTACATTTTAGGTATACAGTACAGTTACATTCATTATTGAGATCTTGTACCTTTACATGACAGGTGGTCTTGGTTCTCATTTTTTCCCCTTGTCCCTGCCCTCCCTTCACCCTCTCCTTCCTTCCCCATTTACAAACACTTTATTTCCATTTTTTCATTTTCTCATGTATTTTTTCCCTTATTACCTTTCCCCTACCCTTCCCATTTTATTCACCAAAAATGCAGAACACATTCCCCTAACCAGCTCTTCACACGGGCATGCCAAGCCATCGCCCCACTCTGTCAGCATCTGAGGACAACCTTCTACGTTGTGAAGATAGACACTTACTAACTGCTCTTCATGGGTAGAACATCCCTCATATAATGGCTGTTATATGCAGTAAGAAGCATTGCTGGGTGTGCTGAGGCAGGAGAATCACCATGAGTTAGAGGCCAGCCTGGGCTACAAAGTGAGCTCAAGACTTGCCTGAACTGCTTAGTGAGGCCATGTCTCCAAAAACAAAACAAAAACTGAGAAGCATTTTTTTTGGTACCGGGGATTGAACTCAGGCCCTTGTGCTTATGAGGCAGGCAGTGGAACCATTGAGCCAAATTGGCGGCCCTGAGAAGCATTATAGATACTCATTCACCTACCCAGTATGGATTGACTCCATGCTGGCTCCTGTAACGCCATTAACCTCCCAGAATCCCAAATGAGTAGCATACAGTTCCTGCCCTCAGCACACTCAACTGGAAATGACATGAACGGTATATGTATTCAGTATTTCTGTTGTTTGCTTTTCTGATGAGCAGCAAGAAAATTTAGTGTATAATTATAATACCTAAATAATTCAGGTAATCTGGATGTTGATCCAAAAGAGAATGGTTAAGCCGGGCATGGTGGTGCACACCAGTAATCCCAGCACTCGGGAGGCTGAGGCAGGAGGATCACTGTGAGTTTGAGACCAGCCTGGGCTACATAGTGAGTTCCAAGTCAGTCTTAACTACATAGTGAAAATCTGTCTCAAAAAACAAACAAAACAAACAAACAAACAAACAAAAAACCAAAAGAGAATGGTTAAAGGAATCGTGTGTTGTATACTTCAGAATTTGTATATACCAACATGGAGGATATTCTGTATGATGGTGTAGAAAAAGCAAACTTCTGAACAGGCTAAACTTATTACAAAAATGAAAATGTCAACTATCCTTTCTGTAATTTAACAAACGACTCTCTGCTTGGTTGTGTCTACAGAAGCAGTACTGTTGTCCTCCTCCATTTTCTGACAGTGTGGCATGGGGGATGCTTTACTCAAACAGACTCTTTTCATCATAATTCTTTTGTTTTCTCTTAAAGTCAAAACTTAATTCTTTATTGGTCTGCACTACTCTCCTTTAACCCTGTTTGTGTCATATGAATGTTGCTATGTAATGAATGATGAGCTTTTGTTTTTGCAAATCAGTTGGTTCCAGCTCTACAAGTTCTAGTGGACTGACTGGAAATTATATCCCTTCCTTTCTGAAAAAAGAAATTGGTTCTGCTATGCCAAGGGTACACCTGGCACCTATTCCAGACCCTTCCCCTGGTAAGTTCTGTTTTTAAGTATTCATGAATTTGATTCAGCAGTTACTGGGCAAGCTTGCACTGTGCAAATGATGATGAAGTTAAACCAGTGTCAGATGCTCAGAAGTGCTAAGGAAAAAATAACCCAGGGAGCTGTAGAGCTTGTGCGAGTTGGAGTGTGAGGTGCAGATTCAATTTTAGCCAAAGAAGCCAAAGAATAGCTCGCTGCAAGGACTCCTTGAGTAAAGCTCTGATGGAAGCCAAGTGAGCACTTGATCGGTGTGGATGAGACTGTTCCAGATGTGGGTTCTCTGGAGCATGGGCTCTGGGGAAGGGCAGGTCTGGCAAATTCAAGAAATGGCAAGGGGGCAGACAGAGTGCAGGAGGAGTGTGAGCTGAGTGAGAGGGAAGGCACAAGAGGAGCTGGGTGAGGAGAGGCCTGAGGGTGTGTCTGAGGCCCCCACTGGGCCCCTGTACGCGTGTCTCACAACTCTGACCATCATGGGAGCTGCTACAAGGAGCCAAGCCAGAAGAGTGACTTGACCTGTCAGCCACCCTCAAGGGCTCGTTCAACCTGCTAGTTGTCATTAAACCACATGAGAACAGGTTGCAAACAGGAGCCTGTTGCAGGTATCCAGGTATGAAATGATCCTAGCTTGGGTTGGAGTAGTAATGGTTGGCTGGTAAAGATGGTAAGTAGGACACAAGGAAAAGGGCGTACGAATGACACCCGCATTTTGGCTTGACAACTCTTAACTAGATGGAGAACCAACGAAGGTCGTCTTAACTGGAAGGACTGAGAGAAGAAATCACAATGTTCCCCCTGAACTTCTCATTTGTTGACATTTCTGTCACCAGGATGCATTTGACTGTACTTGTCTTGCCCTGATCCCCTGTCAGTCAGGCCATTCTGTCTCTTTCACTGCAGGCTACTCTTCCCTGAAGGCTGTGAGACCCCATCCCGGGCGACCTTTCTTCCACACTCAGCCGAGAAGCACTCCTGGCTTGAAGCCGCGGCCTCCAGCCTCCCAGCCAGTGCATGGCCGGACAGACTGGGCTTCCAAATACCCATCTCGACGATGACTATCTCAGCAACAAGACTGTTTCGTAGGGGAGAGGACACTGCCCCTCAGCTTACTGATGTTTGGCCCATAAGAAATGGGTGGATCATGTATAAGCAAACCAACGCTTTATAGTTACTCTTCTGAGCTAGGACATTTCAATATTCTTTTTTTAAAGTTTTTTTTTAAACATTCATTTGAATGCAATACCCTTTTTTGGTATAAAATTATTTTATTCTAAAACTAGGTCTCATTATTTTCTTAATCAACAGCATTTTGTATATATGGATTATGTTTCAGCATTTTATACTGTCAACTTTGTAATGAACTTTTTAAAAATTAAGTGATTTTCCTTTGGAGTTCCAGATAATATTTTATACAGACTTTGAAAAATGTAATAATATTGATACAGTATTGCAGCAAGGGTGAAATTTAAGGCTATGAGACTCAGTTTGTGCAAATATCATGGTATGGTTACATTTGTAATGTGGCTTGTTAGGTACTTGAGGCTTTCTTGGGCTGACTCTAAGAAAAGAAGCCTCTGCTTTTCTTAACATCATGTCATTTTTTTATACCATTGTGCTACTCTAAAAATACTGTTGTATCATCCATTTTGTTTTATTTTTGTTTCCTGGAACAAAGAACTCTATAAATGTTTTTTACAATTTCCAAAACACCCTTCAATGTGGTTGTGGATAATCTAAGTGAAACCAACCTTAATCCTACTCAGCTGACTCATTCTATTTTCTTCCATTTTTGAAGTCAAATCGTCCAAGTACTTATAAAAGGAAAGCTTTCATATCAAAAGGTTTCAACATAAAAGTTAACACAGTCGGTTAAACTTATGTTTCTGCCAAGATGTATGGCTAAAAAAAGTTTCAAAGCAACAGAGTTTTTATTCTAATAACTGAGATGGAATTTTGCACTCAGTTTAGTTCTCCAGGCCTGGCTAGGAGCAGCTCAAGAATAATCATCTGTCCTAGATAAATTGTCAGGACATTTTTGGGGAGCAGAAAAGATCTAGGGTAGGGCACCCACTTATCTAGTAAGTCATGGTTGCCACGATGTTAGCATCCATGGAGTGCCACTTTGAACTTCTAGCTTATATAGTTTCTTTAAAGAGGAAGAACTCTATTTGCTGGGCCGAGGCTGTTTCATCGAGAGGAATGTTTACAGCACTTTTATGGATGACAAAGCTAGTTTGGAAACAGAAAAAGGCTCGAAGGTCCACTGCCATCCATTGCCACATGACACATCTGTCTCTACTCATGGTTATCTTCCTGGCAAGAGTGAATGCAGTAGTAATCTGAACAGGGTTCTGACTCACGTTCTCTCAGGCTTCAGTGACTCTTCTTTGGCTCCAGGTTCCAGGAATACAGCAAGGCAAGCCATATGAAGCAATCAAATTTGTAGTTAAAATGGTAGGTTAAGGTGAATACAGATACAATCATGTGGTTCTAGCAGGTTGATGGTAGCTTTGGTGCATTCATGTTACAGCCTGAACAAGTTACCATGACTTCCGAAGTGTTCATACTTCAAATCAGGGAGTTTGGAGAATCTGGCTCAGAAGTGTATTTGACCAATCACTACGATCCTGAGGGACATGAGATAAGCTCATAGTGGATGCGGATCTGATAGGTAACATTTTCCTGTTAACAAACTGATGGCAAAGCTTCTGAAAATGTATGTGCAAGCACAACTGAAGCAAATTTATTTCTGTATTATATTCTCAACTTGTTACCGAAAGCAACGGAACATGTGTTTTCAGAGATGAGTCCTTTACTGTGAGGTGAATATTTATTTTCTCTTTCTTTATTATATATATAAAAGTAAATTAAGCTGAAACCTTGCCCAGTTTTCTGGAAAGCTGGTTTTAAATTGTAAATACCCGTCAGAGATGCAAATGGGTTGCCAGTACCGTATTATCCATACTGTAGCCTGTGTTTAGGTCATTAAGTTTTTTATATCAAAAACCTAGTTACTTGTTTATTACATATCTCAAATTGTTTTCCGAAAACTGTTGTAGGGCCCATATTCAAGGAATATGCCATTTTTTTCTTCCATTTACTCTTTTCTTTGTTTACCAGCAAACAGCCTTCCTCAGGAAGCTAAACACATTTATTCACACGAATGTCAACATGCTGATGTGCAATTGAGAAAACAACCTGATTCTAAAGAACTAGCAAAATCCTATAAGTATTTTTTCCCCTAAAATAGGTAAAAGACAAATGGTGTATACAAGCTATGTAGTACAGAAGGAAATAGTGACCATTTTTTGAAGCAAACATAAAATTTTACCTGTTACATACATTTTTAATTGCCATAGAATTCATTGTAAAATGAAGTGCAAGACAGGAACAGGAGTAATGAGCTTCACCGTACCTCTCCATGTCTGTGCCTCAGTACAGTCAGAGAGCTTCCTGGGATGTCTGTCGGGAAGCAGTGCAGGTGGCCTCCTTCTGAGCCCCAAAGTTCAGTGACCATGGTGCAAGCACTGCAGGGAAACTGCACTTGCAGTAAAGCCACTTTGGATATGGATGTTCACTTTGCAATAAAATTCCGTTAATTACCAAACCCTCACCCAGCTCGGGTATGGTAAGATTTAATTCGGTAGAAAAGTAATCTTTAAACAATTTTTTAGATACATCGCTTATTGAAAGGACCACGTATACCTAAGAAAGTGACACTGTGACACTTTTTGGGCTTACAAAAAAAATGAATGCAATCAAGGCAAACCCATGTCTAGCAAAATATGACATTTTCTTTTTTAAGTGCAAATACTGGTCCTGTTGGAGTGAATGGATACCATTTTCTTATTAAATAGCGTTTTCCTACCATCAAGCCATTGTTTCATGCCATTTAGGAGAGGGTGAAGAAAAGCAATGAAGGCTTTGTTTCAGCTCAGTGTATGACCAGAAGCAATATGTTTGTAAGAAATTTTTTGACATACTAATTGTTTTATATCATTTAAATATACTGTTGCCACTTGTTTAATATATGTGATTAATTTTTATAATTTCAAACCAAATGTACTGTACATTTATATAATTATTATGAGGACCATCTTATGGAAACCATCATGAAGAAAAATGGGACAAACATCACATTAATCGGTATTTCCAATTTCTTAAAAACACTGTTCTAATGTGAATTTAAAATGACCCGGCAAAGACTCCTAATCTCAGATATGTCAGATACACGGATAGCAGTTTAGTGAGTTGATTTGCTTATAACAGAGTGAGTAACTGAACTATTTATTTATGAAGCAAATGTTCTTAATAATGAGAAGATAGGCTGACTGAAAACCACTGAAGTAAGAACCTTCTGAAATAAAATGTTGCTTTTTAAATAGTTTGTCCTAACTGTTTAATAATGTTGGCTTTATGTAAGGAAAATTCTCATGTTCCAAATAAAGTAACAATTTAAGAAAAACAGATTTGTTTCTTTTTTTTTTAAAATTTGTTCTTATATTCATCTTTAAGACCGGTTTCTGATTTTTGTAAATTAGTTGGCTCATTTGGAACTTAGATACAGATAACTTGTCGATGCTTCCTGTAATGCTGTGTTAGAATCGGAAACACACTTAGTGCAGATGAAGGTTGTCCTGCACTCTGAAGGGGTTTGTCCCTGTTTTGTCATTCACTCATTAAACAAGGATTCTCCGAACAAACACGCTGTACAAAAAGGGAGAATAAAAGACAAAACTCCAGTACCTCATAGAATTCTCATTTTAATAAAACTACAGAGAAAAAAACATGTTAAATGACAATGGACATTATGAAAATGGACAAGGAGGGTCCACGGAGAAGCCTGTGTGTGGATGGGGAGGACAGCTTCATCCTAGGCTCCTTTCTACTTTCTCTGCAACCTCATTATAAACTTCTACTTTCTATATAATTATTTTGCTGCACCTCATTTCTTGTGGACTCTTAAGTATTGAGGGTGTTTTGTTTGGGTTCTGGAGATCGGACCTGGAGCATCACACAGGCTGAGCAAGTGCTTTCCCCACTGAGCTACACCTGTAGCCCACAAGCGGACACTTCTAAAATCTATACGCATATGTTTGCAGTACATAATGGTTACATTCGTCTCACGGAGCTGGTCCTAAAATCCAAAGTAAGTCTGACCATGTGATTTGGTGCCATCACTCAGCAGCGCAGACTTCAGTTACTCCTCAGAACCTTTCCTGAATAAAGGCTAATCTTCAACATGTATGGTCTGAGAAACAGCATAAGGTGCCTCTAAAACTAAGAGTTATGCGAATTTTGCATCCTGTTTATAATGCAGCTTTGATAGTTTTAATGTAATTTACCAGCCACATTTCTTACTGCTGTTCAGTTGAACGGACCGCTCAAGATGATCCACGGAGATGAAGGGGTGCATGTAGAGTCAGTTAAAAGAAAAAAAAAAAATCACCAACACCCAACATCTTTTGTTCAAAACGAAGGCAAACTGCCACGTGCAGCGCCTCACTTGGATGTGTCTGGAGTCTTGGAAGCTTGACTACCCTACGTTCTCCTACAAATGGACCTTGGACCT